GCTAAATGTGGGATTTAGTGGGAGAAGAGTCTTAATCAGCAGTGTCGTTTGGAGAAGAGCATTTAAAAGTTGCCCTTTTAAATCTAAACAAGAAATCATAGAATGGTTTGGGTTGGAAAGGACCTTTAGGATCATGTAGTTCCAACCCCTGCTATAGGCAGGGACCCCTCCCAACAGACCAGGTTGCTCACAGCCCCATCCAGCCTGGCCTTGAGTGCTTCAAGGGAGGGGATTCACCCCTCACGTTAACAGTCGTTTAATGTGAGCTCATAATAAAGAAATGGCAGAGAAAAGCAATGCAGGAAGAGAAAGGCAGGTGTCTGGCTGCCCGTGGAGCGAGATGGCACTGATAAAGCACACAGTTGGTCTGTGTGTGAAGAAAATGTTGAAGCACAGTGAGTTTGCCAGTGGAAATGTTTGCTGATGACACGCGAATGAGATGTTCCATATGAAGAGGGATTTGACTGTTTTCTGAGGAACTGGAGAGTAAACAGTGTTTCTTTCTTGGTTTTTGGAGTGTAAACCTTGACCCCCATCTAACCCGGGTCAGTGACAAGACTTCTTCAGTGCCAGAGACTTTGGGGAAATGGGAAACAGGCTTAAAAATGCCTCAGCTGGGTCTGTACAACAGCCCCTCTATGTGATGCTGCTGTGTGAACGAGGACCTGCCCCTTTGGCTGTGCTTCTCAAGTATTTAAGAGTCAAATTCTCTGTGCCACTGTGCTGACATAGACTGCAGCTGAAATTTGTTGCTGCTGTATTGCAGTGGGAGTGCTGTGCTGTGTCTGAAGCTGCTCATGCAACCCCCATCCGTTTGCCTGTAGGAAGTGGCAGAAGTTGCCCTACTTGGATGGAGACAATTTACCAAGAACTCACTGTGTTTGTCTCCATGATGTGCTTTGAAATGTGAAGTCCAAGTGACTTTACTGACATCCACTCCTCCATGGCATGTATTTTCTTATTAGGGCATGGAGAGGGAGTTAATGAGTGTTTTCAGTATTTGTGTGTGTGTTTCTGTTTGAAGGTAGACGCAAATCTGCTCCCAGTTCCCCCACATGTGAATGGGGGATGCCCACTTGCAGTCATGGCACTCTGACCACTTACATTTGACAAAGAATGAGTTGGGCAGTTTTTTATGCTCTTAAGCAGCATTGGCAAGGTTGATAACACTGCACTACAACAGCTGCTCCAGTCTCTGTGCTTTAAAGACCTGTGGCATTTGGCCCAAGGCTGCTGGAAGACCAACTACCTTCAGCAGACACACCAATGGGATTGGAGCACCTGATGCCTCTATTATCCCCCCTATAAGGGGATAAAGGAGTGATAAGGAGCACACAAGTGCTGCACCCATCAGTGGAAGCGCACAAAGGCTCCTGATTTTCAGGTCCTCAGTGGCAAATCCCACTGTGAAGTTGCTATGATGCCTTTCATTCACTCCTATTCCATTCAAACCACAATGGAGAGAGGGAGAAAACTCTCAAGTTCTGACAACCAACAAGCGAACAAACAAAAATCCCCTTCCATGAAACCCATTTCAATCACTACATTTTATTTTCCTCTCCTCCAGGGAGCAGGGGATTTATTTCACCACATTATGGGTGAATAAATATTGACTCGATGTTTTTTTTTTTTCCTTTTGGAATTGGAGGAGCCGAGACACAACCAGGTTTCTTATTAGTTCTTACTCAAACATGAGTAAATACAGCCTTTCTGCAGCGGCTCCAGTTTGGAGAGCTTTACCATATGCTATCATTATTGAAGTGGGGAGAGAGCAAGAGTGTGCAGACGTGAAGAAGTGTGTTTGCTGGAAGGAAAGGAGCCTATTAGCTTTGAAGCAGATCTGTACACACTCAGTTAACGTCATATGTCAGAATTTCTCTGTGAAAACGGGCTGTGTTTCTGCTTTGTGTGTTAACAATTCAAGAGGAGTATCAGGAAACCGAGTATTGTTCTGCTCTAAGTGGCACAGATTGCGTTTCAGTCGGTGCAGATAAAGTGCTAGGAACTGTCTGCTGTGCTCCAGAAAATGTATTTGAATTGCATGTTTAATCAGCAGGTTTTTTCCTGTGGCCCTTTTTCAGCCAGATGAAGCTAAACCGTCCCTAATGAGCTGTGTGTCTGCACAGTGGCAGGTTGTGGTGGATGTAAAAGCTGGTCGGGAAATAGATTTACACTCCTTCCTGCAGGAGAGCCTGCTGCCAACTTCAGAGCAACGTGGTAACAGTTTACTGGCAGTGCTTTGCATCCAATGGCCTTAAATATCGTTGCACATAAAATGATCTATACCACGAGCTCCACTCTAGAGGCAAGAAAAGTAACGGCACAAAAGCAGTGGCATCTGTTGCTTCAGGTCAGCCTGCAGATCACCAGGATCATGCAAACCAAACATGAGTCCTGCTGGGATCTGGCTTAGCTGCCCTGCAATGGCCATGGCTCCATCCAGGCTGTCACCCCAGGCCAAGCAGCTGCCAGGGAGCGAGGTGCCTGCTCAGCCACCTGCAGCACTCTGCATTGGAGGCAGCAGAACGCTGCAGTGAGTATGTGGCTGCGGAGACAGCTGAGTACAGTGAAGGAAGCAGTGCCACTGCAGCGTGTTTTAGCTTAGATCATAGAATTGTTTGAGTTGCATGGTCCCTTGAAAGCCATCTGGTCCAGGTCCCTGCAGTAGACAGGGACAGCCGCAGCTCCATCAGTGCTCAGAGCCCCATCCAGCTCAGACCTTGGATGTCTGCAGGGATGGGATGTTCACCAATCTCTGAGCAATCTGTGCCAGTGCCTCACTGCCCTGATGGGTATAAGGAAGAAGTCTTCTACAAACTAAACCTCCTTGCTTCTAGCTTGAAACCATTTCCCCCTGTCCTATCAAGATGAAGTTAAGCAATTGCTTGTTCTGATTGATTTGTGTCTTGAAGTTACTCTGTACACAAATCACACTGCAGTTGTTTTGGTGCTGGTGCTTCATAATGTAGTGGAGTGCAAGATTTCCTTAACGTAACGTGTGTGTGAGCGTCAGGAGGTGTCTCCTTGTCTCAGCTAAAATGGTTCCTTTCATAGAATCATTTAAGGTTGGAAAAGGCCTCTAAGATTATCCAGTCCATCCATCCACCTGCCACCACTACTACCCGTACACCACATCCCTCAGTACCACACCTACCCTTTCCTTGCACGCTTCCAGCATCAAACCAAACCCCGAAGAGGCATCATGTTCAACTTGTCAGTAACAAACAAAACCAAACCACGTTTATTATCGTTCTGTTTTAAATATCATTGCTCTTAAGCACCGTGTCGCACCAGAATGTTGGTCTGGCTTTATGTAAGCCCCTCTTCCTTTCCCCTCCCTGTTGAAATTACTGAGAATCCAACCCAAGCTTTTGGTTGACATTCCCTGTCTCAGCAACGTGCTGTTGTAGCTATAGCCATCCTTCATGTGCAGGAAGCAATGCAGCCCAGCAGGTTCTTTGAAGCTCTGGGCTCATGTCTGTCCTTGCTGCATGAGAAAGTGCTCTCAGGGTGGTTCTGTTTCATGAATAAAAAATGTTCTGTTCCTTTAGAGAATGATTGCATCACCCATCCTGCCCAGTTCAGCACATGCCCACCCCCACCACCCCAACAGGGTCCTCTGGTGCAGCGCTGGGCAGAACATCAGTGCTTGCTGATGCATTGCAGCGCTTAACGAGCAAACCTTCCAACTGTGGAAGAATTACTGCTCCACGTGCAGCAACCCAGCATTGGTTTGGATGGTGGGTCTTTTTTTTTTGCAGGGAAAGAGAGAAACTGGCCTTGGTTATCTGTGAACAAAATGTAGTATTGGATCACCTCCCAATGGCAAAAGCAGTAGAACAGCCTGGGCTGGTGCTTAGACCTGGGGATGCTGCTCACAGCTGCTGAGTGCTGCTCACTTTTGTATTTTCCAGTAGCACTGGCGACTGAATCATCCCTAAAACAGCACTCAAATTCAGCATAGGAACAGATGGACAACTGAGGGAAATAGAAAGGGACGTTACCATAACCAGACAGTTTTTGCCCACCTCAATGTTGGTGGTCAAGGTTTAGGAGATGTAATACCTTCGTACCTAAAGCACGCAGTGCTCTGCTCTGCTGTGGCTTAATGGTTGGCCGCCACTCATCTGTAGCAGCTTTCAGCCATCCTGTAAAGCTGCAGTTCTTTAGGGAAATGCACAGCAGAATTGTGACCAGCAGCCAGCATTTCCTTAGGGAAGGTGCGCTCGGGCTTGCATCAGTGCGTAGTGTTCCCCTTGGTTCCAATGTGTAATGATTAACAGTGGTTCCCAGCTCTCGGGCAGCCCAGTGGGATCTGGTAGAGCTGAACAGCACTGTGAGAGCAGTCTTTGCCAGACGTGGCATCCCCGCAGCACTGGTCAAGAGACAAAAGCCTTTAGTGTTCCCCAAAAGAATTTAAAACATTTTACATCAAACGGCTGCAGAAGTTCAAACATGTCACTGCTGGCCTATGGCACGGGCTGGGACGAGGGGGGGAGGAAAGTGCAGGGCAGAGCATGGGTTGCACAAATGATTTCTGAGCTCTCCGTACATCTCTTGCATGATTGACGCTCTCCATGTGAGGAACAAGAAATGCAACGTGCAATGGTTTTGCATCACCAAATAGAAGTTAAACAGCCGTCCCTGAAATAGGAGCAGAGCTTCTCCATGTCGGCACCTCCCCAGGGTGGGTTCCCTCTGCCCAGCACTCCCAAACAGCTCCGGGTTAAATTGTGAAAGGCCCTTTATCCCCTCTCCCTGTTTGTTTGATCCCTCCCACAAGCCCTTCCTGTGCCTGCATTCACACTGCCCGTGCCTTCTGCGGCCACGCCACAGCCTTACCTCTGAAGGAGGCATTGATCTAAATATACCCAGTGTCCAAAGCAAATGCTCTGTTCCCAGTGCCGTGTGGTTCCGGTGGCATCTCCTCCCCCCTGTAACTGTTCTTATTTTGGCTAATTAAATTAGAACTGCCACTTTTTTTTTTTAATTATTATTATTTATTTAATTTCATTGCTGTGCCAATTTGCTGCAGTTTATTTAGTATTTTAAAGCAGCTTCCATTTAAATATGGAAAGGAAGGAAAATAAATCTGCTAAATATATTTCTCTTCAGCTCATATGTTGCAGCTTTTTGTCTTTTTGAAGAACGAGGTCTAATTTCTGGACCCAAATCCACTTGGCACTACTCTTGGCTTCAACAAACTGGGTTTCCTTTTGTTTTAAACTCATTCCCTTATCCCAGCTGCTGTGCTATGCTGATGCCTGTGTGCCAACAGGGCCCTTCTGCATCTGTTTGGATTGAAACTGCTCATCTGAGCAAAGTTGAGCACGTCCATCAATATTGGCATTGCTTTTGGTTTCATCTTTGCAAAGAGCTGTAGCACCCCTCCTGCTTTCCTCCTTGTCCCTTGCTCTGGGAAGCTGGGCCTTGATCTCCTTGGGTTAGCCTGGCTCGTTTAGGGGTGAGGGAGATGATTCAATACTCATTGGTTTTGGAAGAGGTGGGAAAGAGCAGTAGGCTGCAATGTGTAGTCAACAGCATGCGTTTCTTTCTCGATTCTACACATTTCTTTGCAAAGTTATAGGTTGTTTTTTTTTTTTTTAAATAAAATGCTTAAACTTGGCTAGAAAGTGTTTCTGAACAAAGAATGCATGTCTGAAAAACATGCAAGAAACAGCTGGGAGAAAAAAATAGCTGAGAAAATAGAAATTTGATGTGGTTTCTGACAAGCGTGTGAGAGCCTGTTGTCCCCAGAGTCACAGAGCTGCTCAGGGTGGGCTGGGGGAGCACTCAGGGTTTGCTGTGCAGAGCTCTGTGCAGGTTTGTGGATGTGTGTGATTTGGCTGCTTGCTTCTGGACAGGTTCCCTGGAGGAAAGCAGGCCGTGAGGATGCTGCTTATTTACCCCACTCCTAACGTGGCTTATTTCAGATCCCTTGGTGTTCTATTGTTGTTACTTAAAGCTTTGTCTGTTATAGCAAGAAAGTGAAATGCAGATGTTTCAGAGCAAAGGTATGAATAAAATCTTGTGCCTATAGAAACTGGGAGATGCAAAACCACAGCCCCTGCGTGCAAGCATGGCTCAGCCAAAGGCACATATTGAAGAGAAAAGTCCTCAGCACGCATGGTAACAGAAGACATCATGTATGCAGGAGGTCTGGTTTATGGGGGCAAAGCATAGCTTTTGGCTGCATTCTGGGGTCACTTTTTTGAGTGAAACCCTCTTTGCTGAGTCAGACCAGTGGGTCCTGGAGCTGTGTGCTGTGAGCATGAAAGCGTTCCTCTCCAGGTTCAGGGACGCGGGTCGGCGGCTCTGTTCATTTCGGGGGGGCACCCGAGGCCGGTGCCTACAATCAGACGGACAGGCTTTGGTTCTGCCGCTCCTCGAGCGCCTGTGGGGGACGTGGGGAGAGCCTCGGAGGCACTCAGCTGCGATGCTGAGCTCCGTGCCCGCTCCCCGCAGCTCCTTCCCCGCCGGGGAGCCCCGGTGCCCCCATCCTCCCGTGCGGTACGGCGGCGCTGAACCTGCCCCTCGGAGGCTGGATCTGTGCTCATTAGCTGATGTTTGCTGAAACCGGATACCTGGGGCACCCCAGCCAGCGAGCGGAGTCCCCTGGCTGCAGCTATTTAAAAGGACGAGGGCAGCCTTACGGTTTCCACCTCTTTCACATCCATGTCCCTCCCAGCGCCCGTTCCCAACCCAGCTCCTCTCCTGGATTCCCGCAGCATCAATGATCCTCGAGCGGAGCGACCCGCGGGGAACCTGCTGGTGTGCACACCGGGAAAGGATTACCTGCTGAATTCGGGGGGACCCAGGCTTTGTGGGGACCCCTGAGCCTGGCAGGCACCCACTGGCTTCCAGCACAGGAGAAACCCTGAGGCTGAAGGGGAAGGAAACAGGAAAGGGCCTGAGGTGTTTTGGTTTGGTTTTGCTCCTTTTGCTTTTTTTTTTTTTTTTCTTTTTTTTTTTTAATTATTATTATTACTTTAATAATTTTTTTTAAGAAGTAGACGTTGTTGTAAGCTGCTGGGACAAATGAATGCCAATGAAGGTGGGGCTGCAAGGAGACGTTGCACAGCCTCTCTCCTCGCTGCAAAGTAAGTGCCCAAAGAAGAGCTGCTGTGTGAGAGGCAGGGCTGGGGGAGCCTGGGTGTGGGGGGAGGCAGGAGCCAGCGCTGCCCACGGAGCCGAGGGTTTGCTCTGTCCTGGTGTTCTGTTCATAGCACCCAGGGCTTGGGGTGTCCCGGCTTGTTGGAAAAGGAGGGAGCAAAAGGATGTGAGTTTTACCCATGCTGGCCAGCACTGAGTCCCCTCTCATGGCACAGCTGCCTGAGTGACTTGGGATCTGATTTGCTCTGATGGATTTTGTCTAAAAGATCTCATTCCCCACCTCCCTGCCTTCTGGGATTCTGTCACATGGTGGTGGGAGTAGAGGGGTGCAGGGGTCCCCCTTCCTCCCCATGGCAGCAGCGCAATGCAAGGAAGGACGTGGGGGGTCCTGCATATCTGAGCCCCTCTGTGCGCTCCCATCCTCCCCCCCATCCCGAGCCCCACACCAGCAGAAGCCACATTGGGTACCTTGTAATGTGGGGCCCAGCTGTGCCGGTGCTGTAGGTCTGAGCTGCTTTGGACGCAGGGTTTGCAGCCCCGCAGCGATCTCCATCAGCAGCCTTCCCCACACTGGGACCTTTCTCCACGGAGTCTTCCTCTCTCACTCCTCACAGCCCGGAAAGGATCCTCGGTTCCTCCTCTGCAGCTCTTCTGGCCGAAGAGTTTCTTTTTATTATTTATTTACGTTGTATTACTTTCTGCAAATGCTTCGGTGTTACAGAGGAGGGCAGCAGAGAGAGGCAGCGGGGACATCCTTAAATAATTTTCATTTCTCAAAATCTGCCTTTTCCTCTTCTCTCTAAGTCCAGAGGAGAGATCCTTGGGGGGGTGGGAGGCACATCTGCACTGCAAATAAAAATAACTATCGCAACCACCAACCCAACCACCACCAACAACAACAAAAAGTTACAGCTAAGAAAAAAATAACACTAATCAAGGATTTTGGAAACCAGAAGTAACAGAAATTGTGCTATTAATAAGGAGGAGGAAAAAAAAAAAAAAGAGAGAGAGGCAAGAAATCCAGCGACCATGGGCCAGCGTGGCTTCCTAGCATGTACTTTCTGTTCTCTCTCCTTTTTCCCAAGGTAATTGCAGTCTGCCGAGAGGGAGTTAAATGGGATTAAAAGATCTGTGTAAGCAAAAGGACCCAGAAGAGAAGGAGGAAGGAGTGAGCCGTCCGGGCCAGGGGGTGTCTTTGACACAGCTGAGCCCCTTAGAGAGGCAGAGAGCTGAGCTCCCGGGAAGGATGTACCCACAAACCGGCCTGTTCCCCTTTTTCTGATGGATTGCTGCAAAAATTGCCCGAAAGAGACAATGCACTAAACGTGATGGAGCCGGAATCAGAGCCGGTCTCCAGACTCAGAGCTACAGCAGCAGGCAGGGGGTGAGTACAAAGTGCTGCTTCTGCCGGCGCTGGGGAAGGGCATCCCGGGTGGGGACGGGGTCCCGGGGGTGCCGGGAGGGTTCCGGAGGGGAGAGCGTGCCTGCAGGGAGCCCCGCACGCTGGGGCGGCTGGGGTTGGGGTGGGGGAAGACATTCCTTCTGCCAGGGGATGATGTGAAAACTCCTGGGCTGGAGAGGAGAATGGGTTGGGAAGCAGGGAGGCCACGCTGGAGCCGGAGCAGGAGGGTGGGAATGGGGCTGGGGTGTGCAGCCGGGGGTGAGAGCGCGGCGGTGGGGAGCGGAGTGAGGGGGGGGGCACGGCACTGGGATGGCAGGGGGACCCCCAGTTCTTCGCACCGGGGGAAAGGGCTCCCAGACCAGAGACTGATCCGCAGGGAGGGCACGGGAATCACAGCCGCATCGAGATGCCGGAGAGGGCGATTCCACCTCCCTGCAGTGCCCCCAGCACCTCCGCCCCGGGTGGGCACGGGGAGGGTCCCAACCCCACGCAGGAGCAGGACGGAAGCGCCACCACCCAGCCCTGCACCGCGGGATGGGGGGCACCGGTACCTGGAGAGCAGTATTGTGGTCCTCCAAAAAGTGGGAGAGCTATGGGGAGGGCTGAGGCACGTTCCGAGAGGCAGACGGGTGCGTGGTGGCATGTTCTTCATGTGCTCGCCGCACACGCGCGCGCACAAAGGTCTCTGTCTATGTGTATCCACGTATAGCTAAAAAATCACAGCCCGCAGCCTGTCTGTCCTCCTTTTCATGTAGACAGGAGCAGCTTTTGTCATTTTCATCGTTGAATTTGTTGCTGTTGTTGTTGTTGTTGTTGTTGTTCTCCTGAGGCCGAGCAAAGGGTTAATCCCTCTGGTTGCGTTGTCGGATGTAATGATGATTTACCGACACTCCCTTGGAAGGACTGGGATTCTTCTGCCTGGCAGTTTGAAAAAGTTGTGTACAGGATCGCTGCACTTCTGCCAGAGCCGGATGGGTGCAAGATGGGGGAAAAGGACGGGTGGGGGGCTGGGGGCACCCCGAGGGTCACCCCTCTGCCTGCAGCCACCCCACGTGCGGTGCCGGAGCCGGGACGAATGTGCAGCTCCCTTTGTAGGCTGGACGCACGCTCTGCCTGCAGTGTGTCTGTGTGTGTAGGGTTCCGCGTGTGATCCCAGCCGCTCCCACAGCCTGCACTCAGCTCTCCTGGAGCAGCGTGTGTATGTGTTTATAGTGTATTTCAGTGCTGTAGAGTGGGTGTTTTTTGCCCAGACGTGGCTGTGGCACATCAGGAGATGCTGTAGCTGTACCATCTCCCGCTTGCACCTTTTAAACACTGTTACAACCAGAGTGCAGCGCCTGCCTGGGTCCGAGCAAGTGTGGCTGTCTGTCAAAAATGGAGAAGGCCGAAGGGGAGCAGGGGATGAGGAGTGCTGCAGAGGACCGAGAGCAGCACAGCCATTCAGTGGGGTGTTCAGAGGGCCACAATGCTGGGGGGATCCTTGGAGGTGCCTTCGTGCTGCGCTGTGAGCGGGACGGAGGGGTTAGCTGTGGTCACGCTGCAGGTGTGGGCAGGGAGATCCTGCTCGGGTGCCAGCACTGTGCTGATGCTGGGTTAGGGGCTGGGCACCAGCAGGACTGTGCGTGCGAGTGGGCTGGGTCTGCACCACGGAGCAGTGCCATAGGAAACGTGCTCTGTGGGCTCGTGGTAACTCTGGACATGAGAGCCTTTTGTTCCCAGGGTCTGCTCTGGGTTACATACCTTGCCAGCGTGCTGCTGATCCGTTCCTTCCTCGGCAGAGGTCGCTTGCTGCTCTTACATTATCTCCCGATGGGCTTTTCGGTGCTGGGATTCAACTTGCTTGGCGCAGCGGTGCTGTGCATCCTGCCATTCCCCTGCTGGCTCTTCCTGTCAAGGCCTTCAGTCTCAGCAACACTCCCGGAACCCTCTGGTGCCTTCGCATGAAGCGCTGGGTCCCCACGTGTCCCTGGGGCTCCACATGTCCCAGCAGTCCTCTGGCATCCCCATCGTTGGGCTCGTGGCTGGGAGCTGAGTGTGTGTTCAACACCACTTGTGCTCTACCCCCCAGCCCCTTCTAGTCCCAGCGCTGTGTGCTGCCCACGTTTCAAGGGGACAAGGTGCATCTGCAGGCAGGACAAGCAATTTGGGACAAATTACAGCAACACTGGGCACGTTCAGCAGCAGGAAGGTCAATGGGACGTGCAGCAAAGAGAAGGTGGTTGCACAGCCTTGTGGAGACGTGTCCTGGAATGGTTAGGGTTAGGGTCACAGCATCACGACCAAGGCATTGGCTGAGGTCCTGAAGCTGGTCACTCCCCTGCTGCCACTCTGATACAGCTTCCAGCCTCATCCTATCTGTACTGCTTCAAACCTGCACTCATTGAGGTTGCATTAAAGACCAGGGGACTCCCAGGCCTTGCAGTAAGGGGTTGGATGAAATCTTTAAACAGTGAGAGAACAGAGATTTTTTTTTCTCTGCCACTTTGCTGGGTGCATGAGGGGAAGGTGGATGTGAAGTGCAAATGGAAACAATGGGGAATTATATGCTCTGCCATTTGTATACCATATGCTCTGCCAAATCCCGTTCACAACATGAAGGAATGCAAAGGTGTTTGTTGGAAGGACTAAAAAAAGGAGTTGGATGACAGATCACACTTAGCACTTCTGCTCCAGTTACTAGCTGAGGACACAAAGGGAAGGACTGCAGTGAGTGTTGTCACATCATTCAGCAGCAAAGCCAACAACTCAGACAGGGCTGGTGAGCAAAGAGGAGACGAAGGAGCGTGTTGTCAGTAAGATCCCCTATTGTAGGAAGTTGCTGGGAGGCATCTGGAAGGGTGTCTGAGTCATCACAGCCTCATCGGCCTGTCTGTCCTTCATCCCCAAAGTGAGGAAGCAGGCTGTCAGCAGCAGGAGCTCAGAGAAGCTCTGGGGCTGGGCTGTGCAATGAATATGCAAGCTCTGGTTCCCAAGAAGAAGCGTGGGGTCTGGGAGCTCGAATCCCACCAGCCCTTCATCTGCGGGTATCAGCATAAACCCTTGCAGGAGAAGGAGTAGGGTCAGTCACACCAATGCTCCATCACTCTTCTTGATCCTTCATCTTTGTGGCTAGGCATGCAATGAGTTTGTAGTTGCAGCTGAGGTTATATAGAACTGTACCCAGGAGCAGCGGGTTGGATGAAATTGTTTTGTGAACTTGGTACTGGATATTTTGGGGAGCTGGTTGTGTTGTACATATATATATATATGAATGTATGTATATATATTTAACGTTGAAAAAAAAAACCAAAACAACCCACAGAACCATGCAGGGTCAAAACAGGGACATCCACATAACGATAGGTTCCCATCCCTCTCTCTCAGAGGAACACTGTCCTTTCCAGAAGTCCTGGAAAGACAGCAGCAGTTTGTGCAAAGGGCAATAGTCACACCAAATGAGATTTCCACCTCCAACAGCTGGGAGTGGGGTTCATTCCATGGGGCAGTTTGGAGCCTCCGTACGTAAGCTGTGATTCCTGTTTCCTGTTGGCTGCAGAACTGCCTGGAAGTCGTATTAAAAGTCACCTCCACTCACATGCATCAGATCTTAAGTGACACATAAATGATCTCTTTTTAAGAATTATTATTTGATCTACAGTTGGAAACGCGGATTTGCCTTTCTTGAAAAGCAGTTTGCAGCACCCAGCTGGCCTTCTGATCTATTGAACAGAAATAAATACACCTGGATAGGAGAGAGTGGGAGGAATTGTTTTTCCAATCTCAACATTGCAGTTCCCAAAACATTTTGCACTGTAAATGAGTGCAAAAAGGTAATAAATAAATAAATAAAAATGCTGCTTTGGTCCTTTGTAATATGTTTTGTTTCAGTTTTGACACATTGTTTAAGCAAAAAGGGGCATCTGGGATGATGCAGTCACCTCCTGACATCCTGCAGCCCTGACGTGAGTGGTCCTACACCTTCTGATTGCTTTTTGTAGGAACTCCTCATCGTGTTTGTTCTGCTGCTACCTGCATGCCCACCCCCTCACTGTGGAATGCTGAAGTCACTGCCATAGGCTGAGATGTGCCACTGTTGGCCTTTGTACTTCTCAGTCCTTCTCTTGTTGTGTACTCTCAACGCTGTGTTGTTCTCACAGGCTCATCATTGGCATCTGCCAAAAGTAATGCAGTCAGTAGCTTCAGTTTGCTGTAAAGGGAGCTTGTGTCTCCGCTGGAAAACCTTTAGGGTTCGTGTGATTTTAGGTCATTGGTGTTTAAGGGCATTTCTTCACCTGGTAGCTACAGCGGCGGGATCCTCATTTGGGTATTCAAAGGCCCTGTGCTATGAAAGAAATGAATTACTTTAGTGGGT